TGGAGGCACTGAGTCCCCCATCTATGGAAGGTTTAGATGTTATGGTAGAAGTAAGTTCTTAAACTTTAGCATTTGTGATTCTACCTTATTGCAATTCTTTGTAAACATTGAGTTCACATTTCTCGAGTAGAATAACAGAGCTTCAGCACGGAATGACACCACTATCTCCAATGGTAAGTGCCAAACATCACCTATTTTGGCTTTTACATTGCACCGTAGCTTTGCTTTTATTGTTAATTGCAAATTATATTAAAAATATGCAGGAACTGTACAGTTGCAACCAACAGTTTCAAAGAGTTTCTTTAGCACAAAGTCCAAGCAGAAGGTGACTACCTATGCTTGTACAATTTCTTTTTCTTTGTTTAATGACTTCCATTATAAAATGGTTACATAAATGAATCTTCTAATGTAAAAAGTCCTATTATGCAAAGAAATTTATGAATTGGTCTAATCTGCAAGATTTGATTTATGTTATTGTAAGATAGTATCGTTTTTAGATAGTGTGTCGGATGAGAGTTTCGGCCAAGTTAATTGATCTTGCTGTTTCTATTATAACAAGTGTTGTAATGTTTAACTTGTTATTTTTACAACCTCTACAGAATTATACTTCGCTCAATGCTGTTACTTCAGTCGTTGACGGTTTAAAAGTATTGTACAATGAAAAGCTAAAGCCTCTAGAAGCTACTTACCGGTTCAATGATTTTGTTTCTCCTTTTCTGGTGAGTCATTTAGATCTTACTCTTTTGTATTTATAATACCGTTTTACCTAGATTGGCTTATTATATACACTCCTTTGATAAATTTTGAGTCCTAATATTAATGTAACTATCATGTTATCTTTGTTTCCAGACTAGTAGTGACTTTGATGCAAAACCTATGGTCATGCTTTTGGGTCAGTACTCAACTGGGAAAACAACATTTATCAAGCACTTGCTCAAATCCAACTATCCAGGTTAATTTCTTATATTTCATGATACACAATGATTATTTCAGTACAAAACATATTTAAAATAGTAATTTTCCTTTTGTAACTATTCATTCTCTTTTTCGGTTCTTAGGTGCTCATATTGGACCCGAGCCAACTACTGACCGATTTATTGTTGTCATGGTACAAACATGCGTTTTTTTTTTTTTTTTCT